TCAGTGGACACATACACCCATTGAACATGCACCATGAGTGCACAATCAAAATTTGTGTTCTTATGGACCTTAAGTTCCAGTAGGGGGAAAAGGACAATAAACAGGTATCACAAAACCAAGATAACAGATATGAAAAATGCTGAGAACAGCAACAGAAAGAGGAGGATGTGATCGGGAGTGACTGGGGACTACTCTTTTAGACTCAGTGTCAGAGTGAGTGAATGAAATAAGGAGCCAGCCACACAAAGCTGGAGAGAGGACTCTTCCAGGCCAAAGAAATAGCTTGTTCAAAGGCCTCGAGGTGGGAACCAGCTTGCCCTTCTGGAATCATAGGTGGAAGGCCAGCATGGTTGGAAAACAGGATGGAGGGGAGTGGTACACAATGAAGTGTGGCAGGGCCCCATCCTAGGAAGGCCCTGGGAGAATGCTGGATTTTCTTCTTAGTGTGGTGAGAAGCCATTGGGCCTTTTACATAGGGGAGTGACCTGATGTGGTTTTCATTTCGCAGAGGAGTAGGGAGCCCCATCAGGAAGCTGTTGCGGGGTTCCAGGAGAGAGACGGTGGCCAGATGGTTGATGGCAGGGGAGATGACAAGAATGGTGGGATCTGGGCTACACTGTATTTTGAGACAGAAACAAAGGGACTTGCTGATGAGTTTGATTTGGGAGAGGGAATGATTATAATAAAGACTGTCTCTCCTAGGCGTTTGCTTGAGCAATGTGGTGGTCCTCCCAACTTACTGAACTGGGGAAAATTGAAGGAGAAACAGGTTAATTCAAGACTCTTGTTTGGGAATGCTAATATTGAGATGCTGTCCCAGTGGAAATGTAAGGAGATATTTGGACACACAAGTCTGGGGTTTAGGAAAGAGGTAGGGCTGGAGATGAAGACTTGAGAGGCTTAGAAATAGTGATGACATTTGGAGCTGTAGGACTGGATATGATAACCGTAGTTAGAAAAGAGAAGGCAGCTGAGGAGTGAACCCCAAGGAGAAGATGTCTTTTACAAGGGAATGGTATCTTTCTGGTGCAGGTAGATTTGGAGGACGCTCTGTGAATTAGCTTCACAGGGTGCATGATTCTCTCAGAGTTTGAGAGCAGAGATCATGCTTAAAAGGGATGGTCTCTATTTGGTTGCTCCAGTTGAAGAAATTCAGAAAGTTGCTCTCTGGTTTAGATCCAGAGAGCTGCTTTATTGCCTGCTGCAGAGTCCACCCCTGGTTAGTGCAGTAGGATGTCTTTCCTCTCTGCTTTTGTACCCTCTTAGGGTGAACCCCCTTTCTTGTCTTTTGGCTTTAGAGCCAGGATACCCCCTCCCCCAACCTGTATTTATGTTGTACCTGTGATGGGGAGTTACCCAGACCAAAGTTATCTAACTCCACCCTTATAGTAGCCATTTCTCGTCATTCCAAACATCTCTCCTGCTCTTTCCTCTTTTCCCTTCATTTTCTGCTCAGAAAACTTTTGTGGCTCCTACTACTAACAGAAGAAATTCCAAACTCTTCATGGTAGATTTTGAAGTCCTCCGTTATCTGGCTTTATTTGTCCCTCCAGGCTGGACTCTTTGCTTTCTCTCTTTAGTGTTCAGCTTATGTGCCTTTTGCTTCACTGAACACCCTTGGACCTTCCTTCACCATGTGGCACTCATACTTCCCCCTGCCTAGAATGCCTAAATCTCTCCCTCTCTTCACTACCTGGTTGACCCACTGAGAGTCCCCAGGAACCCTTAGTAGCTTCCCGATTTTGAGACCTCTCAGCTTTGGGTTTATTTTCCACCCTCTAGTTTAGCTTTCTGGGGAGGGTCTCAGTTATAGAGAACATTTGTAGGGAAAACCCATCTTACCCCTGAACAATTATGCCATGTAAATAGCAGCCAACATATGGGCATCCCCATTGACCTTAAGGGCCAGGATGAGCTGTGACCCTTTTCATTTCCACTCCCCCAGGATCATGGCCTTAGCTTAGATGCTGTCCTCCATGCAAGCATCTCTCAGTCCTTCCACACAGTTAATTACTCCATTTTTGGAGTTAGGGCAGCAAATTTTTTTTTTTAACTTTATTTTTTATTTTTAAAATTTACGTCCAAATTAGTTAGCATATAGTGAAACAATGATTTCAAGAGTAGATTCCTTAATGCCCTTTAACCATTTAGCCCATCCCCCTCCCACGATCCCTCCAGCAACCCTCAGTTTGTTCTCCATATTTATGAGTCTCTTCTGTTTTGTCCCCCTCCCTGTTTTTATATTATTTTTGTTTCCCTTCCCTTATGTTCATCTGTTTTGTCTCTTAAAGTCCTCATATGAGTGAAGTCATATGATTTTTGTCTTTCTCTGACTGACTAATTTCACTTAGTATAATACCCTCCAGTTCCATCCACGTAGTTGCAAATGGCAAGATTTCATCCTTTTTGATTGCCGAGTAATACTCCATTATTTATATATACCACATTTTCTTTATCCATTCATCCATCGATGGACATTTGGGCTCTTTCCATACTTTGGTTATTGTTGATAGTGCTCCTATAAACATGGGGGTGCATGTGTCCCTTCGAAACAGCACACCTGTATCCCTTGGATAAATGCCTAGTAGTGCAATTGCTGGGTCATAGGGTAGTTATATTTTTAGTTTTTTGAGGAACCTCCATACTGTTTTCCAGACTGGCTGCACCAGCTTGCATTCCTAGGGACAGCAATTTTCCTGTACTTATGACATCTTGCCTTATTTAACGGTTGTTTGCTGTACACATGTTTCTTACTAGATTGTAATCTTCTTTAGAAAAGGGGCTGTTGTTATGAATCTGTATATCTTTCCTGTGGTGAATCTGATGGCCCTCAATATCCATTCTTATCTCCTATATTTCCTAGACTCCCTTGTAGCTAGGGTTCTCGATATGAATTATGTTTTTCCAATTAGATGTGTTTCCATGATATTTGCAAGGTACAGTGATTTTTGCTATTTCTTTTGATAAATAGGGTTATGGAACATGGATGTTGACAGGCAGTTTTGGCATTAGTGCCAGCAGCTCTGGATCCCAACTTTCTGATTCCTGGATTACAGCTCTATTGATGTCTTGAACTCAGTAGTTCTGGGGTTCACTTGCTGATTTCTAATAATTCAAATCTCATAATTCTAGACATTTAATGTGCCATTGCTTAAATATAGAAAAATGTTGCTCTTTCATTAATTGAGTCTTGATTAAATAAGGGTCAAAATTAGCCTCTTTTGTCTGTTACTATGTAAATGTTTAGCTTATTTTTTCCTGAAGTCTAAATTAGTCCTGAAGACTAATTTCCTCCTTCTATTTCCACACTAATTTCCTCACCTATTCAACAAATAATTAATGAGTGTCCCTGGACATTGGTGGCTGCACTAAGTGCTGAGCAGTGCATAGTTGAGTAAGATACGGTCTTATTCCCAGGTTGGTAGGAGAGATAATCACAGAAAAGTGTGTGACAAAGCCTATAAGAGAAATGAGTGGAAATTTAGAGGAAGGAATGCTTGGAGTGTCCAGAAAGGCTTCCCAGAAGCTGTGATGTTTTAGTTGAGACACAGAAGGTGCCCAGGTTTTTACCTGGCAGAAGAGGGAAGGGAGGTACTCCAGGCTATGGAATGGTATATTCAAAGATATGAATTAATGAAAGACCATGGTATCCTAAGAAAAGACAAATCCTTGGCATGGCTGGAGCATTGGGTACTCCTGGGAGGGACCCTTCATGAGACTAAACTGGGTAGGTCATCTGGGTCAGATGGTGAAGGGCCTATGTGTCATGCTAAGGAGTATGAACTTTATTCTAAAGTCACTGGGAGCCACTGAACAAGAGGGAGATAAAGGAAGTGGAAATGGAGAAGTGGGAAGAGATCCAAGAGGTATGAAGGATATAGAGTTGGCAAGATTTAATGACTATTTGAATGTGGAGGTGAATGAGGGTAAGGGTCAACTTTGACTCCTCTGTGGTGGAAGGAGCTGAAGATATTTAGATAAATTGCTTTTGACTTTTTGTTATTTGTTTCATATTGACTCCTTTTCTTCTTCTTCCTCCTCCTCTTCCTTCTCTTCTTCTTCTCCTTCTCCTCTCCCCGCCCCTGCCCCAACTTCCTCCTCTTTCTCCTTCTTCAGTGCTCAGGAACTCAAAGAACAAAGTCATCTTAGAAGTCAAGAAATGAGATCTTGTCCTTGGAAAGCAGCACCCAAGTGAAGATAGGACAGCATATCTCCACCATGAAGAAGGAAAAGAGTCATCAAGGTCATTGTTCACCAATCATTTATTGGATATTTTAATACATTTCCATAGATTTTCTTTGAAGGGTTTTCCAGAGCAATGGAGGGACGGTTTTGGTTTGTTGGAATCTGTCAGCAGATGACATATGCTTTCTCTCTGTTTTATGTGGTCAGAAACTGGAATGCTATGGAGCTGGAACCAGTCAAGTCAGCTGTAGCAGCTCAGGGAAATGTCCCTCTGGTGAGGGTTGGGAGCCTAGGTGTGGGAGGTGTTGTGGACTTCAGAGTTGACTCTCCTAGCAGCATCTCACCGTGTTTCATTTTAGGCTATGAGGTTTGCAATTCCTGGTGTTTTGTCCATTGGAGCCAAGGTCACAAAAGACCAGGTGTCCTGTCCTCGGGCTGTAATATGTATTTTTGGAATACCTTTCCTGTTTCTGAACTTTTGGAAGAAGTTTCTACCATTCAGTGACCCAGCCATGTCCCCACCTACACAGAGGGAAAACCAGGAAATGATTTAAATCCCCAAACTAATCAAAATTGGGATCTGATTATGTCACCCAATTTGCCACTCAGACTTAACCCAACTGGAACACCCTAGAATTGCTGCTTAAAGAACGGAAATGCCCTAAAAGTGAATACTAGTCCTCAAAGCATCTTTACAAGTAGATAGAAGAGAGAAGGAAGACATACATTTTCAATCTCTTAAACAGAAGTAAGGATAAACTTGACATGTAGATTTCTTTGGCTTCAGGCTGCTTTAGCTCTGGTGTGTGCACAACCTAGCGCTGATTCCTTTTCTGCTCTTGTACATAGTTATAGAGGGCGTTGGGAGCAGAAGCTACCTTGTTAGGGTGACTTCCACCCTGTTCTCCCCTTGAGGGCCTCCCACTGCTCTGGGTGGGATGGAGGGTCAGGTTACTGCATCCTCCCTGGGAATTTTGCCTCTGGCTATTTTCATTCCTGTGGAATTTTTCTCTATTAGCACGGCCTTGCTGGATCCCATAAGGTTGTTGATCCTGGGACCCTTGATACCTTTCTTCCTCCTCAAGGGTTTGCCTATCCCATTTTTGCTGATAGTTTTGATTCTCTTCATGTGTTTGCCTGTCTTGTCTCTGATGGGTCTGCTCATCTTCGTGGGTTTGCTTCTCTCGTCTCTGACGGGTCTGCTCATCTTCGTGGGTTTGCCTCTCTTGTCTCTGACGGGTCTGCTCATCTTCGTGGGTTTGCCTGTCCCGACTCTGATGGCCTTGTTCCTCTTCATGGTTTTGCCTGGCCTGCATCTTGCATGGAGTTTCCTGACCCTCACAACCGTGTCTGCCCCAGCTTTGGCAGGCCTGCTCTCCTTCTGCCTGGTGGCTCTGCCTCTCTTCATGCCTGGCTTGTGTCTGTCTGTGGCCCTGCTCACCACTACATGATTGCCATTCACCTTCTTTATAACCATGTGGCACTTCTTGCTTGATTTGTGCTATGAGTTTGTGTTGGTGGTGTTGGTTATCTTCCTCGGGCTCCCATGCCTGGTGGCTGTTCTGCTGCCCTTCCCTAGACTGAAATCTCTGTCCCTGATTTCGAGCCACTTCTTGTCCTTGAGTCTGTTGACTTAGTCTCCCTGAACTTCCTGGTTGCTCAACATACGAGTCTCTGCTTATTTCTTCCCTCCCTTGAAGGTAAATATTTTGCCCTATCTTCCCAGTCTCTGACTGACCACGGTGAGAACTCAGGCCTTGTCTGTCTGTCTGACCATAACAATTACTGTGGCCTTCTCTGTCTGTCTGGCCAGAACAATAGCCCTGGCATTCTCTATTTGTCTGGCCATAATGAGAGCTCATGCCTTGTCTGTCTGTCTGGCCATAATGATAACTCTGGCCTGCTCTGTCTGTCTGGCCATAGTGAGAACTCTGGCCTTGTCTGTCTGTCTGACCATAGTGGGAATTCTGGCCTTGTCTGTCTGTCTGGCCATAATGATAACTCTGGTCTTGTCTGTCTGTCTGGCCATAGTGAGAACTCTGGCCTGCTCTGTCTGTCTGGCCATAGTGAGAACTCTGGCCTTGTCTGTCTGTCTGACCATGGCGGGAATTCTGGCCTGCTCTGTCTGTCTGGCCATAGTGAGAACTCTGGTCTTGTCTGTCTGTCTGACCATAGCGGGAATTCTGGCCTTGTCTGTCTGTCTGGCCATAGCGGGAACTCTGGCCTTGTCTGTCTATCTGGCCATAGCAGGAATTCTGGCCTTGTCTGTCTGTCTGACCATAGTGGGAATTCTGGCCTTGTCTGTCTGTTTGGCCATAGCGGGAGCTCTGGTTTTGTCTGTCTGTATGACCATAGTGGGAATTCTGGCCTTGTCTGTCTGTCTGGCTAGAGTGGGAACTCTGGCCTTGTCTGTCTGTCTGGCTATATTGAGAGTCCAATTCTTGCCTATCTCTCTGACCATAACCTGATTTCTGATCCAGCCTCCCAGACGGTCCATAATAAAAACCTGATTCCTGTTGGTTTGTCTGGCCATAACAAGAATTGTGAATTTGTCTCTCACATTGATTTAAGGCAAAGATATATCCTTGTTTTTTAGGCTGGCTACTGCTAGATTTATGACTCCATCTTTGACCATAGTGGGAGTCTGAATCCTGTCTCTCAGACTGACCATAGTGGGAGTCCCTATCCTGTCTCTCAGACTGACCATAGTGGGGGTCCCTAACATGTCTCTCAGACTGACCATAGTGGGAGTCCCTATCCTGTCTCTCAGACTGACCACAATGGGAGTCCATATCCTGTCTCTCAGCCTGACCATAGCAGGAGTCCCTACCCTGTCTCTCAGACTGATCCTGGTGTACATCCTGGTTTTGTCTCTCGGACTGAGTGCAATGGGAGTCCTGCCTTTCTTCCTCATGCCTCTGCCTGTGTTGTCTGCCTGTATTTTCTGGGAACTTATGGTCTTGTGTTCCCTCCTGCTCCCCTTCTTGCTGAGAGATTCTATCTCCACATGACCTATTATTTAGTTTATGATAGCAGGCTTGGGCCAATTGAAACACCAACAAGAGATATTCATGAAAATCAACATGTCCATTTCTGTCTTTATCCAAGAGGCTCAGGATGGTTTCCACAGTCTCTGGGTCATTTGGTCTCTGTGAGAAGATAAAACAAAGAGCAAAATCAGTTGTTCTGTGGATACAAAGATGTATGCTGGTATCCACACCCCTACCCTTTTAGTCCTGTATGAGCCTTCCTCAGTTGGTCACTATTCATCTTGAAATGGCTTGGGCTTGGTTTAGTCTTTTTGATAAACTGGTCCTCTGAACCTCATCCCTTGCTAGACCAATGGGGTCATGATTATTCCATTATATGCTATGTTGTAATTATTTACCTACTTCTTTCTAACCACACCATGAGATCCTAGACAGAAGAGAAGCTGGTTTTGTTCATGTTTGCATCCGCAGTGCCTAGGATGGTGCTGGCATGGAATAGGTATTCCACAACTCTTTGTTGAATGAATGAATAAATGAATGAGAAGATGTGTGTACAGCACTCAAGTATAGAAATCAAGCTATGAATCTAGAATTTCTTCTGAGAAATGATTTCTGGTTTGAACTTGTACCCTCTCCTGTCAAGCTCAGCTATAAGAAGGTGTGTGTGTGTATGCCTGTAAACGTGTGTGTTCTGGGAGAGAAGTACTAAGGAGCTGCCTGAAAATCTTTAGCTATGGGTGGAACATGACCAGATCAAACAAAAAACATCAAGCCCTGGATGCAGGTGTCAGAATCACTCACACTTGACTCCATGGGGTCAGAGTCTATGCATCTTACCCGGAGGATGTCTCCAAACTCAACCAAGAGCAGCTGCTTCAACTCCTTCTTGCACAGTGAGGTACAGTTCCCATTCTCTTTAGCATGTTTCTGGAACACCTCAATCACAGTGAGAATGCTGTTCAGCAGTTGAGCCATTTTAGCAAAGATGGGTGAACCTAAAAGAAGAAACAAGATTTCGTGTTTAAGATGAAGACCAGGAGACAGATTTCTAGAGGGCAAGTGGCCCTTTTTGGTCAGGGAAAGAAGCTTAAGAAATGACAAAGCCCCTATGCTGACACCATGGAGCCTGCTTGGGATTCTCTCCCTCTTTCTCTGCCCCTCTCCCACTCACACTTGTTCTCCCTCTCTCTCAAAATAAATAAACATTAAAAAAAAAATGACAGAGCCCCTTCATAGCCTTACCTCACACTCCCTCTGATCTACAATCAGGCTCCAAATACTATGTGCTATAGTGGGTGATGGGTGCCAGCTATGGGTTCCCTGCTAGGAAAAGTGGCAATTTCCTAAAAAGCAAAAAACATATGGTAGGTGGTTTCCATGTCCCATCCCCTACTCCAGGTGGGACTTGCTTGATTGAAACTCTCTTAGAACAAAAAGGAAGAGATATCAGGAGGCCCACAGAGGCAGGGCCAGAAGCCAGTACAGTAAGACATAATTCTCCACCAACTAAATAGACCCTGCCAAACAGGTCTTCTAAGGAGCCTTGCTCAAGTGTGGAAGGCCAGAGGTCTCTTGCCATAGGCCAAGCAAACTTTTTGAGAGGCTAAATCCCAGCAAGTGCTCCTGGCCTGGATGATCACTTGGGATATGCTTATAAAGTAGAATCAATGGATATAAAAATGATTACATATAAAGATAGCAAGCCAAATTAACTGCACAGATGATAGGAAGTATATATAATCAGCTAGATTCACTCTGGCTACATTGGGAGATTCAGGTCTTTGGGGATCTGGATCTCAATGGTATTTTGCCTGTGGTATACAAATTCTAGTTACTGAGTTTATAAGCCTCCAAGAAGCCCTAACTGCAAAGCACATTGGACTTCCAAAAGCATGCAGTGACGTCTATAATGATGCATGGCAAACAGTGAATTGCATGGGACAGGCTGAGTCCCTTATGGCAGTTCACTGCACTGAGACTTGAATGCTACTGTGGCCCTGTGGTCTAGGGCCTTGTCCCTGATGAGCTCTAAACTTTTGGGTCTTGCCTTACTTGCATGCAAGGTCAATGCTCCAGTATGGGAGACTAAGCTATTCACCAGTAGTTCTAGCCCTCAGGTTTGGGATGCCCAGGACATGCTAAAACAAAGGCATGTATATTTTACAGGCTTGGAAGTGGGCCACCCCAGTTATCATCATATTCTCAGACAGAACCAAGAAAAGGAAGCAGGATTCTACCCAGGCCTGTCATGCACAGGGAGCAGTCTCAGACCCCCCTAGCCCAGCACATTATAGCTGCTATCAAGAGCCTTATAGAGACTGCCATTACTTATCTCCCTCCTCCCCCTCCTCCCCCTCCTCCCCATGCATGCCTTACCTGCTTAAGGAGGAATGAGCAGAAGATTCAGAAGCCACAGAGGATACTAGAGAGTTGAAAACCCATCGTATTTATAGGGATTTTAATTGTCCTGCTAGGCCATCCCAGGAGACACCCATTCTGTGGTGGAGCCTGAATCACTCTGGGCCCAGCCCGGCTCAGCCCAGCTTGACCTCTCCTTCTGCAGACCGTTTGGTTTATTTACTTCCCCCACTTACTCATGCACCTGTTTGTCATTAGGTAGGCGATACTGTTCAAGTCCCAGCCCCATTTAATTAGGGGAGTGTGTGTGCATGTGCATGCTGTGGAGGTCCCAAAAGACAGATATGTAGGTTGAGTTCATCCTTCATATATGTTGCCTACCATGGCTAATGGAGGACCACAGTTAAGTCATACCAAAGAAGGGTATTGATATGGTCACTTTATAAAAATCTGTCAGAGTAGAGACTAGCGGCTGTAGGTAAATAGCCAGGATATAGTTCCTAGAAGAGATTTGCTTTGTGCTGTTTTGCTTGTGTCGGTAGATATGTATATTTTAATCTATCGACCTGTTTTAATTTTAATGTTTTTTTTTTTTTCACTTAATGGCTCGTCCTGCTAGAGAGAGAAGTAAATACACGACTAATTTTGAGAGGGAAGGGTGCGATGATGGTGGAGTTGCTGCCACGAGAGCCTGTTAAGGTCTTCCTAAAAAGCCACAAGGTGAAGGAAAATGTGGATGCTATGATATCTATGAGTAGAGCTGCTATTGGAGACCTGGGTCACGACTTATTCCCCACTTCTGCGCCTGTGATGTGCCAGCAATATCTTATGCATAGGAAAGTCTCAGTAACTTTTTGTGGAGTAAGTCAATTACTGATTTATAGAAGCATTTCAGAATCTAGTTTAAGCGCAAAAAATTCTAAATTTGTCTCTACTTTCTACTTTTGTTCACATCTACATCCTTGCTTGGACTTTTTCTTGTGCGTCCATACACCAGTCAGTTATTAATGATGATGCTTGCTTGCTATTATTGACTGTGTGTTCAGCATTCTGCAAGGCAATCACAAAAGTGCAGAGATTTTAGTCCATTTGGAATAAAGAAGCTTGATATAGAAAGGAGTTTGAGCAGCAGAAGCAGGACATGAGAAGTGCTGAGAGTTAGAAAACCTAGGTGCATGAGGAGTCTTCATGGGCTATGCCCAGGCTCCCTTCATTAGGTAGGTTTTGTGTTGTTCCTGGTGGGATTCAGGTGGGAGGAAGAAAGCAGAGAAATCCTGGTGGGGAGAAGGGAAAGGACAAAGGTATGAGGCGAGATTTTATAAGACATGTTTGGATTGCGGTGAGCTGGTAAGTCTGGCTGGAGTAGCGGGTGTACAGAAGAATCGAATCGGAAAATTTTGGAATGGCAAAGGAAATCTAGTTTTAGCCTCTTAATTTTACAGATGAGGAAAATGAGGTCCAGGTAGACTGAGTAACTTGCTAAGGGTTCCACAGGGCTATGATGACAGCCAGGCCTAGAATTCTTTTTTTTTTTTCTCACCTCTGGTTCTTATACATTCTCTGAGGCAGATTTGGGGCCTGCTTTAGGGTTAGTTTTAATGAGAAATGGGAGATGGGGAACATTTTGGTGAGGAAAATGACATGAGTAAAGCATTGTCTGGGGGAAGATCTTAATCTGACTGCAGTAAGGTGGCCACCTGTCTCAGTTTGTGTGGGACTAAGGGGTTTCCCAGGACATGAGATTTCAGCACTAAAATTGGGGAGAGTTCTGGGCAACCTAGGATAAGTTGGTCATCAGATACTGCAGGATACAGGATGAACTGGAAAGAGGAGTTTCTGAGTAGGGAGACTAGCAGTCTATTGTGTGGCCCATGTGAGAAATGACTTGGACAACGCAGTTCCGAACTACATGATAGGAGCTGGATGATAGAGGGAAAGAAAGGTTAGGGACCAGATTAGGTGAGGGGCAGGGAAGGTGGAGAAGCCAGGAGACACTCTAGGCTCTAGGTCTGGATAGCTCAGAGAACTGTGGTGTGCTGAAGAAATTTGACATCTGAAAGGGGTTCACTGGGGTCTCAGATTCGGCACCCCTCCCAGCATCCCACAGGCTTTCCGCCTCTGGGAGCCTGCCATCTGCCTTCCTGCTTGCATCCTCTGCTCTTTGGGCTCTCCCAGTACCAGTCAGGACTTGCTTCAGTCTGTTTATAAATCCTGAGAGTGGGGTCATACCAAGATTCTCTTTCTGCTTTTGAATCTTGACTTGGTTTTCTTCAATGTTCTATTTATTTTTTGAGAGAGAGCAGGGGAGGGGCGGAGAGAGAGAGGGACAGAGGATCTGAAACAGGCTCTGTGCTGTCAGGCTGACAGCAGAGAACCCTATGTGGGGCTTGAACTCACAAATCATGAGAACATGACCCGAGCTGAAGTCAGACGCTCAACTGACTGAACCACCCAGGCACCCTTGAATCTTGACTTGTAAGCACTATTCAGTTATGTCTCTTCTTACCCATTAGAAGCAAAAACCAAGAGAAATTTTGGTGACCCCAGAGGCAAATAAGGGGAATGTCAGTGGAGTGGGTAGAGGGTAAAGACAACAGCCATTGCAATAGAGTGGCAAAACTGTGGCCCCCAAGATGTTGGTATTTTCCAGGGCTCCTTAGAAACTCTTTCATTGGTTAGATGGGCAGTTCTCTGCCTGAATCTGCAGTGGAGAGAAAAATGTTTGTTTGTTTGTTTGTTTGTTTGCTTCCTTATTTATTTATAATCTCTACACCCAACTTGGGTCTCAAACTCACAACCCTGAGATCGATAGTCACATGCTCTATTGACTGAGCCAGCCAGGTTCCCCCTGAGAAAGATGATGTTCTTAAAGTAGGGTCTGCTATGTACCCATTCATTCGATGCTTGGTAAGTTCCTACAGGATGAGCAGAGAACTGTGTGTTGCTCAGTTAGTCAGTTGGTCTGTGTGAGCATGTGGAGGGCTCTTTGGTAGGCCCTGAGACAAAGGCACAGTCTTTGTTTTAAGGAACTTTCAATTTCACTGAGACACAAGATACACAGGCTTCTCCTTTGCAGTAGACATTGTACTGTCATTGATAGGGCGTTGGGAGAGTTTGGCTAGAGGGAAGAGAGGGGGAGGATGCAGAGGCTTAATATAACACATATTTGAAGAAATCATGGAATATAGTGGGCAATTTCGGGCAAATTACTTAACCTCTCGGTCTTGGATTTCTTCATCTGTAAAAGGAGAGGGTTGAACTGATTTCTAAGCGATCTTTTTTAATATTTTTAAGATTTTGTGATTCTAATCTTAGGGTTAGCAGGGGCTTCAGAGGTTGTAAAAATATAACTTTGCTGTATTTGTAAATGTGTTAAAAGCCTCAGAACTTTGTGCTTCTCAGTCTTACTCAGTGGAAAATGGGGAGGGGGAGTGGGATTGTGGGGGTCCTGTCATTTAGCTAGCATTTGTAACTTGCATGAGGATCTTCACTGTTTTTGTTCATTGTTTTTCAGTGTGTTTTCCTTTTATTTGCATTCATGTTGGTCTGTGGCCTTGTGGCCTCAAAGACAAGATGTTTTTTAAGCTACAATTTATTGAGGTCTTATCATATGCTAG